TGCTCCGGGGTGCAGGCCTTTCCGCCCACTTACGGCAGGAGCGAGGAGAACCCAAGCACGACCCGAGGTCGCCCGCTGAGGAGCGGAAAGCTGACTCAGGGCGGAGTTCCACCAGAGCCAGGCTGACGGCACCCTCCTGCCACCCGGCTGGCCTCCACTGCTAGCGTCCGATGGGAACCGAGGCGTGGTGTGCCAGCACAGGACACCGAGTGCCCTTGAGGGACTGCAGGGCTGCACCGAGGCCCCAGGGTCGGAGCAGCATGCCCACTGGCCTCAGCATTTGATGGGGGCTCTGGGTCAACAGGACAGAGGCAGGAAGCCACCTCTGGTGGCTTTCTTTTGTCAGGGAGCAGAATCTTCCCAGAAGTCGCCACCTGCCACCCTCAGCAGCCCCACGGTCACCTTGGCCAGCACTAGGCCATCTGCCTGTGTTGGAGCTCCCGTCAGCAGGGGCCAGGGGCTGGGCTTCTGTCTCTCGGGGTCATCCCCTAGGCCCAAAGGGGAGTCTCTGTGCCCTCAAAGCACAATGAAAGGGGCAGCGGCCAGTGGCTGCAGGGCAGGTGGCCCTTAGCCCAGAGCCTGGACGCTCGGGGACCCGACGTCGACCAAGCCGGCCTGCAGCCTCAGCTGCTCGCCATGGGGTGTGATTCTGGACCAGCTAATGTCCCTGAGCCTCAGTTTGTCACCTATAAAATGGGGCCACCTACTCCTGTTGGTTTATAATTACATAGAATTTACATAGCGTGTACGGCCTGGCCAGCCCTCACTTCCACTAGGACCTGCCTCTGCGTTCTCTGGGGGAGGCCTTCAGATTCATGGCCAGGTTCTCCCAAGAGAAACTGCATTCACATTGGCGTGAAAAACAAAACCCACCAACAGAAATGGGCTGAAAAGTGTCCGTACTCTGCCTTCCCCGTAAGGACAAGACAGTTAGTTTCAAAATAAAGCAGCAGGTGGCTGTCCCACGTTTTTCGGGTCTATGCAGTAGGGGCGTGGGGCTACCGTCCTGTGCAGGCCGCAGCTGCTGAGACGTGATGGGGAAAACGGGGGCATGCTGGGACTTCGGCTCTCCTCGTCCGGACGTCCTAGGTAGAAGCCAGGACTGGCTGCCCTCAGGGGCATAGCCAGGCCTCTGAAGCCTTTGTCACCATTGTGGTCCTGCAGCCTAGTGACCAGGGAACAGCTTGACCAATTCCAGAGTGAAGGGCGAAGACAGAGATCCCAAGTCCACTCGGCAGAAAGCTGTTCTGATGCCCTTCTTGTCCCCATCCATCCTGAGACCCTAGTCCTTCCCAGGCTGGCAGGGGCCAGTGTGCCTGAGCATGATGGTTAGAGGCCCACACCGAACACCCCTGGGGAATTCGGGTGGTCTGAGTCCCCAGGGGCAGCCTGCTAGAGTCAGCCTGAGGAGGGTCTCGAGCACCACCTCCAGCATCCAGGATGAGCTGGCCAGGGGTGAGGGGGTACCCTGTGGATCTGGGCTGGCCCCAGCTCCACCCTGCACAGCTGCAGGCCCGAGACCCTTGCCAGCTCTGCTTACCGGTGTGCCAAGTGAGACCTGGATCTGCCTGGCTGGCAGAGCTCCGGGGCTGTGCTGAGGACCCAGGGAGATGTAGAGGAGAGGGCTGCATGGGCTGGGTGTCAGCGTGGCCCTGACAATCTGGAAAGCCTCTGGATCTCAGCATCTGTGATGTGTGGCCTGGTGCCCTCCCACATCATGCTTGCCCATGGAGAACCAGGTGCCCCAGCCTTCTGTGCACACCACGAGGTTTGCATAGCTTGGCTCCCGGTGGCCACGCTGGGAGGGCTTCAGGGCAGGAGTTCCATCAGCGTGCACTGGACCGTGCCCTGGGTCTTCGGTGTGGCCACCGACTCTTCTTTGCACCGAGTCTCCACCAGCCTCGGGAGACACCCACTTGCCCTCGCGGACACCTGGCCCTCCTCTGTTTCAGGGCTCGAAAGTCCTGGCCAAGAAAGAGCTGGCCTACGTGCCGATCATCGGCTGGATGTGGTACTTCACGGAGATGGTGTTCTGCACGCGCAAGTGGGAGCAGGACCGTAAGACCGTCTCCACCAGCCTGCTGCACCTCCGGGACTACCCCGAGAAGTACCTGGTACGTGGCCCGGCCCTGTGCCCTGGAGGCCCCCCAAGTCCTGGGAGGCCATGGGTCCGAGTGCGGCCACAGAGCTGTGGGACCGTGCACTGTGCATGACCGTCAGTCGGCCTTGCATGACCTCAGGGCTGTGTGTGACTGGGTGGTGTGTGACCTCGGGCTGTGTGTGACTCGGTGGTGTGGGACCTCGGGCTGTGTGTGACCTCGGGCTGTGTGTGACTGTGGGTGGCATGGGACCTTGGTCTGTGTGTGACTGGGTGGTGTGGGACCTCGGGCTGTGTGTGACCTCAGGCTGTGTGTGACTGTGGGTGGCGTGGGACCGCGCGCTGTGTGTGACTGGGTGGAGTGTTACCGCGGGCTGTGTGTGACTGGGCGGTGTGTGACCTCAGGCTGTGTGCGACTGGGCGGTGTGTGACCTCGGGCTGTGTGTGACTGGGTGGCGTGTGACCTCAGGCTGTGTGTGACTCGGTGGCATGGGACCTTGGTCTGTGTGTGACTGGGTGGTGTGTGACCTCGCGCTGTGTGTGACTCGGTGGCGTGTGACCGCGGGCTGTGTGTGACTGGGTGGCGTGTGACCTCGGGCTGTGTGCGACTGGGCGGTGTGGGACCTTGGGGCTGTGTGTGACTGTGGGTGGTGTGGCCCTCGCCGTGTGACCACCACCCTCTGCCCTCCAGTTTCTGATCCACTGCGAGGGCACGCGCTTCACCGACAAGAAGCACCAGATCAGCATGCAGGTGGCCCAGGCCAAGGGGCTGCCCAGCCTCAAGCACCACCTGCTGCCGCGCACCAAGGGCTTCGCAGTGACCGTGAGGAGTTTGAGAAATGTAGGTAAGGAAGATGGCAGTGCCCCTGCGGCCCCCCGCCCCACAGGGACCCAACCCGCGCTGCCCGCAGAGCGCCCCCCACCGCAGGGCTACCCATGTTAGACCCCCCCGCCCAGCCCGTCCGTCCCAGCCATGGGCGCCTGCGCACTGCCCTCTACTGCTCCGCGGCGGTACTGCGGTCGTGCGGCACACGCCATCTGGGGCTCCTGGAGCAGCCTGTCCTGAGACTGGGGCATTTCCTGTTCCTGCCCATCTGCGGGCATCGGCTACCCACAGGTGATGATTTATTTTAAGAATTATTTATTTATTACTTATTTTTCATTTGATCAGAAAGAGACAGACAGACAGGGAAAGTGAGAAAGCAAGCCATCAGGACTGAGACTTGAACCATGGTCGGCCGTGTGGGAGTCCAGCGCCTCACCTACCACACTCTGCCAGTCCCACAGGCTATAATTCTAAACCTGGGGTGGGCTGCAGCCTGCTGTGGGTTCAGAGCCCTAAGCAGCTGCAGTGCAGGTCTGTACACCGCGATGGCCTTCCCGGCCCGCCCCGGCAGCCCTCTCTGTGGCATAGGACACCTTTTTCTCTCTCCCTGCAGGCCCCCACCCCCAAAGCCCCAGTTCCCGCCCCGGCTCAGAGGTAGGAGGCCTAGCTTCCCTCAGGGCTGGAGGGACACTGACAGCGCGAGGACATCCACAGGGCAGGCGGGCAAGGTCGGGCCACACTGTCCCCTGAGCCAGGGGAGGTGCCAGCCACACACTGCCTGCTACCCTGGCCTTGTCCTCATAGTCCCTCTCCTCCTCCTGACCCTGAAGATGGGCTCTGGACAGCAGGTTGTCTCCTGCAGTGCTGCCCCCATCTGGAGCTGGGTGGAATCACCAGGGTGCTCAGTGAGCACAGACCGGCCATGCTCCGCAGGTCGGGGGGCCAGCTCGGCAACCGGCTGGCAACTGTGTACCTTGAACAAGTCCCAGTGGCCCAGCAGCGAGTTTAGACCCCAGGCAACAGTCCCTGCCCACCCCGCAGCTCACTCAGCCTTTCAGATCCCAGGGCATGAGGCCGGGCAGCATCCAAGTGCACCCTCTGCCCGTGCCTCCCGGAGGGTGGTGGTCGCCAGGGACGCGCCTGTCAACACCTGTGTTCCCACTGGCTGTGCTTCAGCTCTGGAGGAGCCGGCGGAGGGCGGTGCGGTCAGGCCCGGCTCTGGCATTCCAGGCCCTTCCGTTGGGGTTCCTCCGGTACATGAGAGTGCGTGCCCACCACTGGATTTCAGGCTGTTCTCGGGGACCCCAGGGCCTTCCCATCCTCGTCACCCCACTTCTGACCACATCAAGCCCTGTGTGGGAGCAGGTCTGAGGAAGTCGGAAAGCCCAGAACTTCATGAGTTCCATGGCCCTCTGGCTGCCAAACCCCATGACACGAGAGCCACGCTCCACTGAGCCTGATGGCCGTTACCATAGACACGAACTCATGCTAAAAAATGCTTGGAAAATGTAATAATTACTTCCAAAGGCCTTCATCAGGCCCCTCCTCCTCGCGAGAGCAATGGCTCCCCCAGGAGGAGCAGCCTCAGTGGCACCTCCCCTGCCCAGGATGAGGAGGGTGGTCTTGGGCACTCCTGCGGGCCAGCAGATCCCCTGGCAAAGGCCATGAGCCTGCAGACCCCACGTGGTGCCTGGGCAGTGGATGTAGGAAAATGGACGTGGTTTTCTTACGGGTCCTCGAACCTTCGTATTCTCAGCTAATGGCCCCTCCCGTCACTGCCCACTCGGGGTTCATAGGAACTGCACGTGTGCACAGCCTCTGGGAAGTGTCAGAGCCCAACTCACTGGGCAGCCAGGTGCCAGGCCCACGAGAGATGCCCAGTCCCACCCGCGCTGCGTGGCCTGCCTCGGAATGCATCCTCCGGGAGAACTAGGCGGGTAGGGGGTGGCCTATCCACGAGAAGACCCCACCACTGGGACCAGCCTGGCCCTGACACTTCACTGAGGGGCTCTCTGTCCCACGCTGTGTAGTCTATACTCCATCCATCCTGATTCAGTGAGTGTCGACTAAACAAGGGCCAGGTTCCAGGGGCTGTGACAGTGAATTTTTTTTTTTAAAGAGAGAAATTTTTGCTATAGGGTGTGTGCACTCGCCAGAGAGAGAGAGAGACAGAGAGACAGAAAGTGAGAAATCACCCCTTGGGGTGATGGCCACGCCGCAATCCCTTCTGTCAGGATTTTAGGCATGCATGCATACGCACCCCATGGGAGGTTTAAGCCATCGGGTCTGGGACTCAAACCATGGTCGGCTATGTGGGAATCCAGCAATGTAACATTATGCCACCTGCTGGTCCCTGGTCCCATGACCGTGAATTTTGAACTGCCAGTCCACTGCGGGTTAGCTCGCCGTGGGTGGGCCTGTTAAAAGCACAATGCCGTTTCTCAGCCGCGTGCCCCAGACCACGGCCCAGTTCATCAAGGCGGTTCCACTCAGTCTCTGTCCTGGTTCCGCGGCTGCCCTACAGTTCTCAGGGAAACAGCGCTCTTAGCAGTTCGTCCGTGTGAGAATTCCGTAAACAGGCCGGCCGCGAACCGGAGCAGCAGCCGCTCCGCCGCCGTCGGGCCCCCAGCCGCAGGCCCGGGGT